TTTTTTTTTTTTTTTTTTTTTGGAAGAAAAGGCTCCCTCGGCCTCCTCTGCTGTTTCTGTGCTTGTCTGATGCGCCCGCCGGGTCTCTCTTTGCGAGGAGAGGGGCCCTGGGGGGGTCTGCCCCCTCTGGCATTTGGTCTCATGAAAGATAACATTGCCCCTGCCGTGAGTTCGGATGCTGCCTGTCTCCTCTGGTCTAATTCCCCTCTTTGGAAAGGGGGGTTTGGGGGAGGTATGGCTTGACACGGGCTGTTCGGGCATGTTGCTGGCTGTCTGACCCGCAGATGGGGTTTGTTTTGTTGGGTTTCTTTTTTTTGTTTGTTTGTTTTTTTATAAGGAGAGGTTTTGGGAGGTATAGCTTGATGCTGCCTGCCTCCTCTGGCACTTTCCTGGCTATCTGACTCTGCAATGGGTTTCTTTTTGGAAAGAGAGGGTTTAATAGGCATGGCTTGGTGCCGGCTGCCTCCTCTGAAGTTTTCCTAGCTGGCTGATGGGTTTGTTTTTGTTTTGTTTTTTTTTTGACTGGGCTCTTCTGTGTCCATGTTAAACCAATAAGCGTTACTGCCGTGGGGTGGTCTTAGTGCGTGGGTCATAGGTTGCTAGGGTCAGAAGGGACCTATTTGATCATCAAGTCCAACCCCCTGCTCTGGGCAGGAAAAAGCGCCGGGGTCTTATTTGTGAGGATCACTTTGTAAGCAGCCTGCCACCAGAGTCTCTCTAGACTGAGGTGTTTTGGGCTAAACGCCTCCATCATCAATCCTTGAAGATTCGGTGTTTCTGTTTTTTTAAAAATGTCTCTGAGGTTGAGGGGGGAGCTGTGTGCCGCTGCATGCTTTAAAGTCTGTAATTTTCAGTTTTGGAGGAGTTGTTGAAAAGTCATGGGAAGCCTTGTTAAAATGCTACATTTTGTTCCTGGACTGCATGGTATTGGTGCATTACCTGCAGCTGCTTTCTGTTTGTGAGAGAACCCAGTGATCAGACTCCTGCAGGGAGGCTTGCTTAATCCCCATTAATTGATGGGGATGTTATTTGCATTAAAATGATTTTAATTATCGTAGTGACACCTGTTTACGCATTGGCCATTATGTAGTAGAGCGTTCACCAAAGAAATGCGGTTTGCTAGGGCAGAAGGAACAGGCAGCTTTGATAAAGGAGCTGTGTTTTACTTAACTGGAGATAGTGCTGACCTGCATCCTAAATCTAAGAGGAGCAGCACTTATCTTTTAAGAGCTGCCCTGTCATTGAACAGCATTGGGATCCTAGAGAGATGACATGCGATGATGCAGTGCCCTGTGCATTGTGAGATCACATCTAGATGGCTGCTGCAATATCACAATGCAGTGATGTAATCAGGCTGGAGAAAGCTTTACCTAGTGTCTCCTAGTCAGAGGGCCAAACTTGCTAGCCTGATTTTGGGTGAATTAGGAGGGGAGACTCACTGTTGTGATTTGGGGGCAATGCAACACCAGTTCTCCTGGACTTGCCCCAAATCCCTGTGTCAGACAAGGACAGATATTACGGTTCTCACTGGGGTTTTGTCCCTGGAGCTCCATCCTTTGCCATTCACTGGCACATAATAGAGCCTTGTCTACATGCTGGATTTCTGCCCACCTAGCTGTGTTGGTCAGAGGTGTGGTGAGGTGTGATCCTGAACTGATGCAGCCTTGCTTGCAAAAGCGCCTGACTGATGAAGTCACACGCACAGAACTACCACCTTGCCAATGTAACACATTTCACTTTAGGGGCGGGAGCAAGTGGAGCCGGAATAAAGTGTACAGGGAAAGGCACAGCTTTGCCAGTATAAGCTGAAATTGCATCAGTAGCACTTGCCAGCATAGCAACGCACTGAGGGGAGACGTGTGATGGGAAAGGATGTGTTGTTTCCCCTTCTTTGGGGCTCATTTCTTTGGGGGTCACTGCACCACCCCAGGCCCTGGCTGTGGCCAGAGGCATCCTTCACTGTTCTGTCTTTTCTCTGGCCTCTCTTATTGCTGTCTTTTTGTCTTTGTCATTGATTCTCCCTCAAAAATAACATTAGCGCATAGTCTTGCGAGACCTCCTCCCCACTCCCGCACCCCAGCTTTTTGCAAGAAACAGAGTGAGCTCAAGTACCAGAGACATGTCTGAATACCAGTTTCACTTGACTGTTTGGTACAGTGGAGAAGTGGTGGGTGGACACACAAAAGTTGCCAAGCATGAGTCGAAAGAACTGTGTTTTGTCAATAGGGAGTGTGTGAAAGCTTATCGTGGCAACCTTAGGAGCTAGAAAATTGATTTTAAAGCTGCAACTTAGATTCTGCAGTCTGATGGTGTAGATCCTTATCTGTGCCCAGTCAGATTTTCCACTTGACAGCGACCAGGTTTCATGTGGCTTTTGGATGCTTTGAATATGTGACAGTATCCCCTCTCTGTCCTGGCTTCTGCGGGGAGGGCACTTTGCTTCTCACCCCCTTGTATTGTCAGGGGAGCCTCCCTGTTACTCCCTGCCTCCTATTCCTCTGTTAGCAAGGGAAGGGTTCATTTGGCAGTCTTTGCACTAGTCTCTGAAAACAGTCTGGCTTTGTATTTAAGTTTATAATTTCTTTCCATATGTTTAATGGAAAGAGGGATGTGAATTGTTATTTGCATGGTTGAGGTCCCCTTTCAGTGGGGGGGAGAAAAGGCCTCATATCAGCTTGTTCCCAGCATATGAATTGTGTTTTAAATGGGTGTTTTCACAGCCTCGGTAAACTTGCACTGTAATCTTTTTCAGTAGTTGCCAATTTTTGCGGCTTTCCACAGCGTGTGACTGAGAACTGTTTAAAAAGGTTATCACTGTGCATGTAAACAAACCGGTATGAAGTTATTCACCCCCTCCCCCCGTGTTTGCTTCAAGAAAAATTTTGTCCTAAGATATGAATCGGTGTCTTGTTCAAGCAGTTCCTTGATGTTGATAAGCACCAGTGACTTTGATATACTCTTTGGCTTTTAAAATGCAATATCATACCTGAGATTAGTGAGTTTTTTTTTTTTTTTTTTTTTTTTTTTTTTTTTTTTAAAAACAAGGTGGGGTCTAATGCTGTCTTTTGGCTCTGAGAATTGGTCCGAGTCCAGATAAAAGGGTTTTTGGAACGGAAACCCACTGGCTCTGATAATGTACACTTAATGGCTGATTCTGCGTGCACAGATTGCTTTCGGAGTGTGATTTCTGTCTCCAGTGTGACTAGCTTCAACTTGGATATCTGGGTTCAGGACCTCCAGTGATGTCTGTCTGGGTTTAGCTGTACTATATTAACTTTAATGGAGTTGTTTGGCATATTAGAGAGAGAGAGCGAAAAATCATTCCTCTTTCTTGCATATTTAATTTTGTGTGCGCAAAAGGTGTATGTGGATGTGGGGAAAAAATTCAGTGATATACCTGGGCCAGTAAATGACTATTATGCAAGGTGGAGAAAATATGGCCCCTGCCCACAGAAGCATACATTGATGGCACTTGAAAATGTGTATCTTGGAGCTTAAATTCATTCACACTTAGTCATGCTTTGTGGTATGCCTTCTTTCTTAATATTCTGGAAAACTTGGGTACATCTGCTCACCTTTATGGTAACCAAATACTCTACTGAAATATATGTAAATTAAAATAAAAACATGACTATTCTCCTGGCTCACTTCCTTCGTCCAAATGTGATTTCTTCTGCAGATGGCTTATATCACTTCACATGCCTTGGACTCATTTTACAACATTAATCTGGTTTGTTTCATCTTGTGAAGTGGGCAGGTCCAATCCTAATGTTACTCAAATTCACTTTTTCTTTCCTTGTGATAACACCATCAGGTTGGATTTTCTTTTTTGGTGTTGGGTTTTTTTTTTTTTTTTGGAACTGCACTCCTTTCTGCCTCTGATCTCACTGAATGTAACAAGATTTGTAGTGTTAAGCTAGTCGGTGTTGTGATAGGATGCTTCAAAGAGCAGCACAGAGTTCAGTGGTATTTAGTGACATGGAGCGAAGGGTGCTTCTTGCTGAGTCAGTAGTAAAATCATGGCAGAGCTGGTTAGAATTACTGAGTTGCTCAAATGGCCGAGTATGGGAAGAGATGTAAGAGTAAGAACTTGTCACTAGTTATCACAAATCCTGTTGTCATAGCAGAATTGAATTTTGCTCCATATATTATGCCTGCATAGGCAGAATTCTACCGAGCTAGAGCTCTTTCCTTTTCTGGCACAGATGGGTATAGGGTCATATATAATTTGCAAAGGGATGTAGGATTTGTCAGGATAAAAGGCACTGCATAAACATGTTTTTTGCATGAAAGGTAAAGATTCTTTATCAAGTCTCTCTAACTTGGAGAGAGAGCAGTACGGAGCAACTGTTAATTTTTACATCTTTATTGCACT